GTCCTTGCCAGGATTCTGAGTTTGCCTAGGTCCAAACTTTGCACTGCCAGAGGTGAACCACAAGTGGCGAGCCTCCGTTTCGCCGCATGTTGCTTGCTGTGGGTCTTCTGCACAGGCCTGAGGATCCCAAAGGTTAATTTAAAATGTTCCCCCCGGTAAATCAACTGCCGGCATGAGAGGACGTGCAACCAAAGCAGTCCGCATCCATTGCCTTGAAGCTGCAGGCCTTCGCAAGATAGGAGCCTGCCTCAACATACAGGATGGCCAGAAAAGGACCAGTCAGGACAACAGGCTCACACAAAAGCAGGCACTCCTCATGCGGATGGCGTCTGAAGCACTCAGCTTCTCAATGATTCCCACCTGGAAGGATGATGCCAGTTTGGTCCATTGTTTTCGATTGCATTGACTTCTGAAGCTTCTAGACCATTGAACTGTGCAGGGCTCCTGCCTCGAAGACCGCCCGCCGGGCGAGAGGCCAGAACACTAACGGAGCAAAATGCTCTGCGGCATGTCGCCAAATCAAACCCATGGAGCTGCGCCAACACATGCGCAAACGAGTCCAGCTGAGGCGACTGCCTTCTGGGATGCGACGACAACCCGGGCTGGGCCTGGGCCAGTCGGGGACAAACAATAACGTGACGCCAAGTCTCACGTTGGACAGAAGGGCAGTCGCAGACTTTTACTCATACCCCGTTGCACAGCGTGTCACACTGTCCCCGAAAAAAACAAGGCAGGAAAGACCTCTGCTTCGGAGAGGCCTATGTTTCCTGCTGCCCCCGAATAAAATCACTGCCGCTGTCGCCGAAAAGGCCGAGGTGGGGTCTGCGGCACATAGGACTCCACCTCACGAAGCCTTTTTTGGCAAGCCCTCAGCTTATTCTGAGTGACCTTCATTTCCTTCTGAGAAGCCTCGAGAGCCTGCCGAGACCGTTCCAAGGCCTCTTGAGAGGCCTGCAGCTGTTGACTCAGTTCTTCTATGTGGCCGGCCGCTTTCCTTAGCTGCAGCATGCCCGTCCAAGCTTATGTTACACCACAATTGTGGAGCATATAGAGACTTTGCAAACGCATGATGGTCGTGACGAGTTTCCGGGATCTTGTTTTGTTTTTGCGGTTCTGCTCGTAGATCTTTTGCTTTTTTTTCCGGCGCTCCTTACTCAACTGGGCAGGATCGTCCAAGATGACGAGCTCCCCTGCTGTCGCCACATCTTCGATCTCCATCTTCACCTCTGCTGGCTCCGCCTTTACCAGAGCCGCTTCCTTCTTCACCATGATGCAGCGGAGCTTCGGAAAGGCCAGGCGCTTAGAGAGAGGCAACAGCTGCGGCTGCACAAGGTCTGAA